TTGGACTTCTTTTATACGTAGACCGTAGGTGCTGCCCACTCGCTGAAATCTTTTTTTGACAAAATACCTGTTTGTTCGAGTCTATCTAACTCTTTGTTGATTTGCTCTAGTGCAGCGAAAAGGACATTCTGTTTCTTTTTGAATTCCGGTTGTGCACCGTCCTTCACCTTGAACTTAGCTTTCATTTTAGTACATTTCCCAAGGCTGCCAGAAAAAAACCTGGGGAAATTGTTGTTTGAGTTCCTTTTTTAGATTTACCTAATTGGACGTTGTACTTTGTATCTTGCGACAAAATGTACTCATTGGGCAATCCCAAAGATTGAATTTTTCTATCCAATCAGTTCCAAATAAGTTATCTGAAGTTTTCAATACATAGGCTTTGAGATTTTTCGGTGACTCCATTTAGTGTTTCTGTAAGTATTACCTCACCTAAAATGTTAATCTTTTTGCCAGTTACGGATTTTGCTGTTTTATCCGTTTTTAATAAGGTCAGCTTGTTCAATTTTCGCCAAGTACGCCAGTTAATGGTTGAGAGATCCGAACCCGAGTCAAGCTGAAATTCAATGGACTTGTTGAAAATATCCACTGTTACATATTCCCTTAAATTCCTATCGGCAATATCTTCAGATTCAGCTTACCTAATTTTATTTTGGGGTTTTCTCATTCTGTTGGCGTACCAGCACGAAGTTAAAGTATGACCACTTTTATTGCAATTTTTGCAATATTTTTTGTTCTTAACTGGACAGAATTTCATCCAATGCCATTTACCACAATGGTAACATGGTCCGGGCGGTTTCTTTGACCTATTTGGGTTTTGGTTACTGCGGAATTTAGGACATGAGATTTGCCTTTTGTCTTTTTGAGAGGAATAGGAGGTAGACTTACTTCTGATTTTATTTATCTGAGCTACACCTGATTCCTCGATAGTGTTTGAGCCACGCTTTATAGATATTACTCTTTGACAGTCCTCTGCCAGTTTTTGCAGAGTCAATCCTTGTTCGTTCTCAAGCTTGGTCAGTACCTGCCGTCTGACTTCGGCGTCTTCTGCTGATACTAAACCTTGTGCGAAAATCAAGCACTTGAAATCATCGGCAGTCAGTTCGGCTAGTTTAAAATCATTACAGAGCTTGTTTACCGATGCTGCAAACGTTAGAAAATCTTGCTGGTTGTTTTTGACTGTGTTCAAGCATTTCCAACGTTTGTGGAACAAGGTTATATTAGGCCCGAATAGTTCCGAAAGAAGCTTAATAGCCTCTGAAAAATCCAAGTCAGTGGTTTTCTTGGGTAGTATGAAATCTACGAACTACTATGTTCTGTAGTTCACAGTTTTCTCAATAGTAGACGTACCTTTTTTTTTACTGGGCCATTGTTCACAGTATACGTTATAAGTATCTTCGTAGCGCCTGTAAAAAGCCTGGAACGTTTTGTCTTCCTCTGGTACGTATTCAAAGGTTTCCATTGAATTGTAGATTATACTCAGAGTTTGAGCCTTTTAATGCATTTACGAGTAATTATTTAAGATGTTTCTGTTGTAGTTCAGCATTCTGAAGCGTGATTTTTTGGAATTCCATTTGTTGTTTGTGTAATTCCAAAAATAGTTGTTGTTGTCTTTCTTCTGATTTTTGTTGCTGGTCCAAATTTAGTTTTAACATTTGGGCAACTACCTTTTGCAAATCTTCCATATTTAAAAATGACAGCGCTTTTTTTGTTGCTTTGAAACACGTGTACTAAGAGGAGTTACACAAAAAAATCTTGATAGATTTTTGTTCCTTTTTTTTCTTTTACAAAAAAAAATATGGACAGACAATAGTTAAACTAAACTAATTATGTGTTTAGTTTAGCTTTTTTTTTTTGGTTTCCGTTAATTTTAACGTAATTGAATAAACTTTCACCACACTTACGTATTTTTTTTTCAGAAAGGTAAAAAAAAAAAAAGAGAAAACTCACCTCAGTGAATTTGAGGGGAGAATAATTTCATGCCCGAGTTCAACTCAGTTACATAAAAAAATTTTCGATAGTTTTTTTCCGAAAACTTGAGTACAATGGTAGTACTTGCTCTTGTATTGTCAGTTTGTTTTACGAACAACTGTTTTTTTTTTTTGTGTGTGTGTAGAAATCGTCCTCGTATTGGACAGACTTTAATATTCCGTAGATGCCAAATCGCTAGTTTGTCACTGATGTTTGGTATTGGAATATATATAGACGCTGGGTGTTTAGCTTTTAAATCGCTAATGTATTAATACCAGCTTAATTTCACGTTCAACACTGCTGTGGGAACGCGTGGAGTTTCTGTATTTTTCGAGTACTGTCGCTATGATATGGTGAGAACGAAATTCTCGAATCTTTTCTGTCGACACTGTTGTGGGACTGGCAAGGTATTGCGGTTTTTCGATGTGAATGCGTTTCTAAAATTCTTCGTCGACCCAGATGTGGAACAGGTAAGGTATTTAGGTTTCGCCGTGAGTGCGTTTCTAGAATCCTCGTCGCCACTGATGTGGGGCCAAAGTTGGGACCACAGAAGTAAAACACGGATTAGATGTAAGAAAGATATATTAACAACAGGTTACAGAGATAGTGTAATCGGAGCTTACTATAAGTTAGTGTCCAACACTGGTAGTCGTACTAGACTCTCACTGTCTCTCTCTCTGTCATTCTCTCTAGAGTGCTATGTCGACTACTTAATATAAGCCTGGAAGAGTCTATTGTATAGGTAGTTTCCGTTCTCATAATAGAGAGGACACCAACGCAAAAACCCGGTAGGACAATATCAAACAATGGACAGGTATGACTATGCGAGAATTCCTGATGGCTGCCGTTAATCGACGGTTGTCCAAGAGATTCTGTTTGGCTTCTGCATTCGGGCCCCCTCTACGATTACAAAAGTCAAGAGGATGATGATGATGATGATGATGTCGATGATGATGATATCCCCTTCATAATATGTTGGACTTATTGTACAAGTTAACATACCAGTTCCAGTTAAATAATTCTTTTAACAATAAATGAAATATTATGGGAACGCTTAGGAATATTTTGAATATCTGTGGATATATAAAACAGAGGATGTGTGTGTGTGTGTGTGTGTGTGTGTGTGTGTGTGTGTGTGTGTGTGTGTGCCTGTCTGTCTGTGTGATACTTTTCAAACGATATCATCCAACCGATTTTGACCAAACTTGGCTTATGAATTATAAAATGTAAAAGATTTTGAAAAAAAATCAATAATCGATAAAGCTGATCAAAAATCAATAAATTCAACTTTTTTTCCTCCAATTACGTTCAAACTCGGTATGTAGTTTACTCACATCATGACTAGCTCAACAATACCTCATTTTTATTTCTACGCCATTACATTTAACGAAAAACCGTGAAAAACGAAAAATCGTTTTCAACACAAAGCGATTTCAACACAAATTTAGAACTAAAAAAACCCTCAACTTTCAAGCAATCTAATACAAACTTCATTCAATTGTAGTTAACAATAAGTTGATTGTTTAACAGTCATATACTTGATATCTGAGTCCCCACATATAGTGAATCACCGTGTAAATAGCGAAAAATGGCGATTTTTACTGGTTTCTTTCATATTTTGGTTGATCTCTCAACCAAATTTCATCAAACTTAATTGCTTTATAAACGTATCCTCGTAGTGCACTGAGAAATTGAATTTCAAAAACTGCAAAATAATTTGGGTCTTCATGTTGCGTATTTTACGATTTATTATCATGTCTTCGACAAACTTCGATTGAATCAATACAGACTACTTCTGTTTTATTAGTAACTGCTTTAATTCAAAATGTTTTTTAATGAAAGTACTTTAAAGTAATTGAAGATAGACTCTGTTGCATGTAAAATTGATACTATTTTTACTCCATTCTAATTGATTGCTTTTTTTTCCTGATCAACCAGCAGCGTATGGCTGGTAGTATATGCTATTTTCAGTATTTATCTACTTGTAGCATTGTTTTCCTTCTCCAGCTTTTTTAATAACAGTGTTAAAAAGATATAATTCTCAAAGTAGATGAAATATTATATCACATGGCTGATCGATAGCAATGATTTAAGATGGCACTGAACTTGGACTGTCAACTAACACTTCGTTGTTCTACACGCTTACCAAAGATTATTATTATATTTTTCTTCGGATGTCGTGTTTTTATTTTTAATGTATTTCCAAGCTATTCTTCTGGAGCATTAATGTTGTTGTCATCAAATCTTCAGCAATTATAATCTTAGATTGCTTTATATGATTATATAAAGAACAAGTAGAAAAGACGTTATAAATTTTTCCTCTTTTGTTATTTTAATTTCATAAAGATTTCCTTCTTGTTCCCAATTTAGACATTTTGTCAGATTTAATTCGTATTTTCAAATCTTTGTCTTATATATATTTTTTATTTCATTAAAACAAGTTTTTTTTTTTTTTAAATAATGCGTAAGCTAGACAAAAATGGTGAAATTATAATTGTGGTGAATATATTTATAGTGAAAGCCTATTTACTGCTTTGAACTTTTGTTCAGAAGAACCCGTGTAGTGGGAGTTTTCAAGCGTGTACCTTACTCTTTTTGTTCACGTCTGCTTATTATCTCTCAGTTGCGTCTCTGTCTTTGAGCAGAGTGCGTTCATGGGGTTCTCTGTCAAAGTACAGAGAGGCAACTGAGGAAAATAATACTGAAGAGGTGCCCAGCCCTGGGGAACAGCTGCCCGATGCCGCGCCCTACCATTTCACCAGAGGGAGGGATCAGTGCTCGCACCGAGGCCTGCTCAACCGACGGTTGTCGGGGCTGAGGGGAATTTTTGTTCTTGTTCCGGGCGTATGCGTTCGGGTACCCACCTAAAAATAGACCTTGTGTCACCTCTCGTCCAAGTGGAGGGACAGAGTAAATACCGCGTCTGAAACCCGCGCAAAAAGAAGCAGTGCTACTATACTGCCCGTCTGAGTCTTCCTCTCCCAGATTACTTTGTGCAACTCGTGGTTTCTTTTGGGAGACACGCTGCACGCATGCAAATGATAATGGCTAGCGGACTTGCTGATATCTACGTTTCTCCTCTCTCTCTCTCCCTCTGTATGCCCCTCTCCCTCTTTCTCACACTCTCTCTGTATATCTCCCTATCTGTATCACGCCACCTCTATCTGTATCCCCCACTATCTGTATCTCTCCCATCTCTCTCACTTTCTCACTGTATTTCCCCCTCTCTCGATATATATATATTCTTCATTCCTCCTCTCTCTGTATCGCTTTCTTTACTATATCTTTCCCCTTTCCTTCTCTGTATCCATCTCCACCTCTGTCGCTCTGTATCTGCCCTCTTTCGTCGTATCTCCCTTCCCCCTCTCTGCATCTCTCATTCTCTCTGTATCCCCTCTCCCCATCTTCCCCCTCCCTCTCTGCATCACTCTCTTGTCCACCTCTATCGTTCCGTATCTGCGCCTTCTCTCACTGTATCTCCCGTCCCCCACTCATTGTATATCTCCCTCTTTCTGCATCTCATATCCGTCTCTATTTATCTCCCCGTCTCCTCTCTGTATCTCTCTCACCCCCCTCTCTCTCTTATGTATCTCCTCCTCTCTGTGTATCTCCCGCCTGTCTCTCTATCTTCCCTCTCTTCACGCTACTCTCTCTATCTCTCTCCCATCCCAATTCTCTCTATGTATCCCTCTCTCCCTCTCTCTCAATGCTTACTTCTTCCCTGCTAA